CTTAATTTAGTTGTTTATTTTGTATCAGTATGCCAGATCATTTGGGAACACAATTAAAGAAAGTTTGAAAAGCTCATATAATCGGTCAGTCTATTACTTCACCGGTCCTCATCGTTTTATCCACTAGCCACAAACCAAGTTTCATTTTGAGACAGTCCAAAGCTCCAACCATTACCAGTTGTTCCATGAGAAGAGAGGATCAAGAGAAAATGAGAAATTGGGCTGTTGACAATGGGAAAGTTGTTAGACAAAGATCAATCCGACAAGAAAACACAAAGTATAAGGCCACTGAATCTATACAAGGAGATACCAATTGGTGAAACATTGCATAGAGAGACATGATTTGTCAAATGGGTCAGCTGTTGAGAAAACTGACTAGCAGAAAGAAGAATATAGTAGTGATGAAAACTAGTGATTCAGAAACTGAGGAAGTAGATACCACAAAAGAAGTGAATTTTATGAATTGCTGAACAAAGAGAAGCAGTGTGTGCAAGATAGGTTGGCACTTGAACAGAAAGCAACTAGGGAAACTGTTGCACAAAGGGACGACTACAGTAATGACGAGAACAGCAGTTTAGAAACCGAGGAGATAGATAGTTTCAAACAGGAAGATCAGTTAAGAAATGTATGTCTAACTACTAGGTCTGACCAACAATCAAAGTTAATGTCAAATATCTTCAATAAATGCTTTTATATTCAACAACAATTCCTGGTGATTGGTGATTTCCCTCTTCATAACTTGGTGGTTGGTGATTGGGAGGGGGTATAAATAGGAGTGTGTATTATCCGGACGGTCAGTAAATGACCAACTTATTCATTTTTAATAAAGAACGTTTATGAGTTCGTATTTATTACCGTTAAATTATTGTTATAAATTTACGTTCACTTACTGTTTCATTAAAACGTTTTGTAATTTGTGGATATATTTGGCGACATTCGTTTGTGTATTGCGTGAGAGTTGTTGACGCGTTTGCGTCGTTTAGAACCCCCCGTATAAATCCGCACCAGAAAAAAAGGCCCGTATCGGAACCTGGATTAAATCGAATAGGTTTTCTTTTGGGCCAGACGAGCGAAAAATAACATAACTAAAGACTTTTTTTTTCATATATGGTATGTGATAACACCTTAATGGACTAGATACGGCTTTTGCTGCCCCTGATCGTACGGCTTACGCGCCATCACAAGCTCGGCCGCAAAAGTCGTATCCAGTCCATAAAGAATATTATCAACCAGTTTCCATTACCTTAATGCAGCAGGGTAGTCATTTTAAGTCGAACATTCTTTTTTTTTACAAAACGACTATCCTGCTACCTAAATATTATGTATACTTTTGGGCCAGATGCCTTCAGTGCGAACATGGATGTTAATATAGATGGTTATACACAGACCATTCGAAAAACATTCCTGATTAGGTTTTCAAACATATGAATGAAGATTATTTCTAGACTAATTAAATAACGAAAAGTCAAATATTAATGCCACATAAAGTGAAATTTATTGCAATAATATCGGATATATTTACAAAAATATCTTCCTTTCAATACTTTAACACTAAGTTTGTGTACACTTACAATGAGATGTATGTGTATATCTAAAAATTAATGCTGACGAAAAAAACATAAAATACATAAAAAATTAAAAGAAATGTCACTTGTGACAAAATGCAAACAATAGACAAGGAAAGAAAATTTGTCTGCCATGCATATCTGTGGTATATACAGGTAGATAGTATTTACAAAATAAAACATCTTTTCGACTTCTGTCCAGCAGAAATAATGTGTTTTATTGAGGGTGTATAGCCAGAACG